TTGTCAAAAATTCTCTGCTTAATATTCATATTGCACAGTACCAGATGAGCTATAATTAGCTTCAAATTTACAACTGTAAATCATTAACCTGTATGATTGCAAGTAGAGTACTTAGCAATAACTTGACATTTGAAATGCATACTAGTGAGGAGACTAAATAATTAATGCAATTATTCGATATCTTCTAAATATACAAATTAACAGCATCAAGGCAAGATTAAAGTTCCGTTAGAAAAATTTAGTTGACAGAAATTCAAAATGTTCCTATGAGTCACCTCAGCCATTTGTACTAGTTCAAAGCTATGCTCAAAGATAATTTCATAACTAATATTTACTCTTCTTGATGATTGCAATGGATACTACTGACTTCAAGCAAAAACAAAAAACAAAACAAAAAATGTAATCAGATAATAAGGGACAGGGTGACAATTTAGCAAGTCAATCGCTAACAACATTAAGAGCAGCAATGAAAATATTAGAACCAGGACAGAAGCCAGGGATATGGCTGGACTGTTGGACCACAAAGCTCTTTAAGACATTCTAAAAGGAGTGTTAAGGAGATTGCATAGAAGCTGAACAAATTCCTTACATCTGTCTGCAGTGTAAAGGTGGGGTGTATGACGTGGACTGATATTTCTGGTAGAGATGATACTTAAAAGAAAACTTACCAAGCTCTTAAAAGAACTCAAATGTAAAATTGTTGGCCTTCTAAAAAAACCTAACTCTTCCCAAAGGTCAGCATATGAAACACAAGGGCTGGAAAATGCCCAAGGTACACTTTTTCTTTTGTCTAAACATGTATATGATCAAGCCATTAATGTCTGTTCTTGGAAAACTGGCAAAAACCATTGAAGGTAAGTTTACAAATGCATATAGAAGAACAGATCCTGCAAAAGAAGAATCAGCATGGTTTCAGCAAAGATATGTCCTGCTTCACTTCACTCATATGTCCTGTAAGAATTATTTAGAATGTCAGCAAGCATGAGCAAAAGGATGATTCAGTAGACATTGGATACCTGGGACTTTTTAAAGCTTTTACCAAAGGTCCTCAGTCAAATGTAGTAGTTACAGAATAAGAAAATGGTCTCTTAGACATCATTAACTGGTTAAAGAATGGAAAGAGGGAAGTAGGGGTAATTTGACAGTTCTTGCAACAGATTAATGGAAAAAATTGGGTTCCCCAAGGACTTGTATTGGTACCTGTATGTGCGCTTGCTCGCTCTCCTTTCTCTCTCTCTCTCTCTCTCTCTCTCTCTGTGCGTGTGTGTGTGTGCGTGTGTGTGTCTAGACAGACAGACACACAGATCGACTGACCGCATTTTATAATGGAATTGTACTTTTACACTTATAAATGATTTGCAGTTACAGGCAAGAAGTGGGATGACCAAGTCTGTAGCTGACACTAAACAATTTACCGTGGTAAAAACTAAAACGGATTGCAACAAGCTCCTCAGGATCGCTCCAAAGTGAGGAATGAGCGCTAAAATGGAAAATGCAGTCCAATGTAAGCAGTTGTACATTGATGACCACTACAGCCAAATCCTAAAGTCCCACTGAAAGATCTTAGCTGGCAGAAGTTGACCAGAAATGGATTCCTGGCGTTAGTGCCATTAAAAAAATGGATCCAGTGTGAAGCATCAGAGAAACTGTTAGATTCCATGTTGGGGATTATCAGGAAGGGGTCAAAATATAACTGTTAATATTGTAGTACCTTTATGGAAAATACTATGGTGCAACCACACCTGGAATAAATTGCACAGGTACTGCATTGTGAAATATATTTTAGAACTCTAAAACATGAACATGGACAACAAAAATAATCAACTCCCTTATGAGGAAAAATCTTTCATTTAGTGGCTATTTCATTTAGGGGGGAAAAGGCTAAGAAGAGAAATAATTGCATAAAATTCTGCACAGTATGTAGAAAGGGTGCTAGAAACAGAGTGGAAACTAAATGAGGGAAGATTTATAACATGCATAGTTTATACTTAGTGTAAAAACTGGGCAATTCACTTCCACAAAATGTGGTGATGACCACCAACCAGCAGCAGCTTTATAGGAGTATAAACAAATTCATGGAGAAAAAGGCTATCAGGAGCTGGATGGCTACACATTACCTCTAGGATCAAAAGCACTATACTTCTGAACACCAGATGCAGGAAGCATCAGCAGGAAAAAAGCCATTGCCCTTATGCTTGGCTTGTGAAATTCCCAAAGGCATCTGGTTTGCTATTATGGGGAATAAGATCCTGAACTAGATGAGCTTTTGGTCTGATCCAGCAGGGCTCTAAGTTCTTATGTAAGAATGCCCTGGTACCTAAATCTGAAGTGTCTATTTCAGTCATTTCTACTATATGACAATTAGTTTTTACTGTTAAGTCTATATTTTGCATGGCACATATCAGAAAAAGGCTTAGGCAGACCACTGAAAGAAACTATTTATTAGTTTAAGCTTGTATTTTTGTTCTCTTCTGTTGAAGATTATGTTCAGCTCATGATCAGATTGATTATATATCTTTGAGTATGTATTGTACACATACACTGTAACAGTCTTGAAAGAATTACAAAGCCATCTCACTTCAAGGTTAACCAATACTACTATATTTTGCCAGGTCAAAATGAATATGAACAAACATGAACAAAGAGCAGAATATTTATTTCTCTAAGACATGTTCAAATTTATAAAGTGAAAAATCCAATTTCCTGTATAAGTCTCAAATGAAAGAAATACAAAAGTTGAACATTCTTAAGTTCAGTATAAAGCATTCAAAATTAAACAAAACAGAGAATTATCTTGTTGCCCTAGAGACACTCATATTCATGCAATATTTCATGTAGACAATGCAAGTTCTTATTTTAGATATCTGAAGGTTCTTCTAATGCCACAATAAAGTATGTTAGGCATAACAAGGTTTGCTACAGTTACTGAAAGTGTGAACAATTACAAAACATAAAAAGACCAAAACTGTTTCAGAAGGCTTTGCATACTTCTGCATACTAGAACTGCAGAGTCTCTATGTGATACTGAATGTGTATTGTTCCTTGGACCAATATATCATTTTATTTGGCAGCAAATGTTTGTAAGAGCTGAAATTGCTTGTGTTGCATAATTTGAATACAGCCAAACACTGTTCTCCAAACACCAGGAAGAATTTTAAGAAAAAGTCACATTAATGAAAATACAGCAAATCCATGATGAAAAATTGTTGTAAAACCAGTCTGTCAAACTCTGGCATCTCAAGTAAAGCTTTGCTTGCCAATACTTAAGTATTTTCACGGGTATGCCACTTTGTGTCTTATTAATGAACTGTCAGTTCATCACTCCTTTCAGTCAACAGCCCACAGAAAAGAAAGATCACCATTCCAGCTTCCCTCTGTTGTTCATGCTTCTGCCATGCAAAAATGCTAATTTTATACAAAGAAATAGTGAACCCCCAATAACAAGCAGGCAACTAGCCTAAATGATAGCTTTTAATAATGCTCGTTCACTAATCCTACCCAAGAGTAACATTAGCTTTCAGTAAACCTCTATAAACTTCACTCTCATAGCATATATAAACAACTAGCTTTGCAGAGAAATCACTGGGTTATGAAAGCCACAGGGAACATTGCAACAGAAGGTTAATCACAAGTAAGTTATTACCCCCATAGCTGAAAATCATTTCAAAAATGCTAGAACTCAAATGTAAGTCTAACAACAATATAACATAAATCTGTTCTACTGAAAAGTGCTGCAGGGTCCACACCATGAATACAACATGTGAGAACCTGTTTGCTCAAGCATGAAGTACAATTACAACAGCTCCTCTTTCCCAAACATACAGCAACTAAAAGCTTCCATCCTAGCACTGAGAATTAACAACACGTATAAAAATGTAGGAATCATATGCAAAGCTAAGACTGTATGATACTTGAAATAGTTATATTTTGTTTCCCCAGATAAGCTGCCAAGGAAGCAAATAAAAACTGCAAAATTCTAGCAAGATTGTGGGGAACATACAAATGTCAACTACTGCTGATTACACTAGGTTTTAGCAATTTAACTAATTACCAAAGATGAGTAACCCACTGTAAAACAAGCCAACCACTTTAAAACTACCAGGATGACTACCATGTCTAACACTGTGCAGAGCAAAGGACCTTACTGGAACAAACAGCAGAAAACCCCAGTTAAGGTCTTTTGCTACCACAAAGCCTGCTAGACCTTCTCCAGATTTTTTTTTTTTTTAATTTCAGTAATGACTCTAGGACTGGAATGGAAGATGGATACTGGAGTAAACAGGAAGGGTCAGATCTGCTAAGGAAGGGGAAAGGATTTAGCAGATGAACTGCGGGGGGGGGGGGACACAGCAGGGTCAGGTTTTCCTTGGTAGGAAAACAGAGATGGGAAGCAGCTGTGTGGAGGCCAAAGAATAACGATACAGAAGGCAAAAGCACCTAGGAGAATTGGGTAAAAGAGAGGAGAGTGCTTGAGGAACTGCTGAACTAGGGTGGCACAAGTAGGGTGGTGTATACCCTGAAGGATAAGAGATACGATAGAAAGATATATCTTCATCTTAAAATGGAAAGCAAAGGAGACTAGGGTGGATTAGTCGAGCTAGATGTTCCATCCCGAAGAAAAAATAAGCTGGGAAGGTTAAGAGAAAGAAAATACCTTGCCAATGAAAGGTCAATGAAAGAAAAGCGTGCCGAGAGTAGGTGCTTATGGGTGACAAGATCGCTGCTTTGGAAGGAGGGTGCGGGAGAAAAAGAAAGAAAATAGCTCGGTTGGAAGATTAAACGGATAGTTTCGAGAAGGCGATCCTCACAATGGAGACCGGGAACGGACCCAAGGTGGGGAGGGGGTGTTTGACGAGGGGCAGGTGAGCCTGGGTGGAGCCGAGGGCGGCGACTTCGGGGCCAGGCGCTCCCTCCCCGTCGCGTAGGGAAAGCAAGGGAGAAGGACGCTTCCCTCCCCCACCGCCCGACAGGCGCTCGCTCGCTCGGACGGAGGGACTGACCTGGCCGCACGGTCTTGAGGCGCACCGGCTCCCTGAAGTGGCGGATGACGGCCAGCGTGTCGCGGTGAGTGAGGCCACTCACCGGGGTGCCGTTCACCTCCAGCAGCACGTCCCCGGGAACGGGGGGCTTCCCCGAGAGCAAGACCGAGCCAGCCCCGCCACCGCCGCCGCCGCCGCCGCACTCGGCCAGCGTCGGCAGGCGGGCCCCGAGGTAGGGGAACTCTCCGCGCTCGGCGCCGCCCCGCAGGAGGTCGGGGTCCGGGCCAGAGCCGCCCCCCCAGGACACAGCGCACTCCTGCACCTTGCTGAGCCAGTGGCGCTTCCTCCGCAGCGTCTTAGACATGAGGCCACACCATGGGCGCCCCTTCGCGCGCGAGCTGCCCCGTCCCGCCGCCGCGCTTCCTGCACGGCCAGCCGACCGACCGCCGCGCGCGCGCCCGCGCCCGCGCCTCCTTCCCCTCTCCAGCCACCCCCGGCCGCGAGTGCCTCCCGACTGGCGCCCTCAACGCGGCGGCTGAAACACGTCCCCTGCTCCAATAGGACACACCCCTTTCCCCCCGCTGGTCCCAAGCCCCGCCTGACATTCCAGGGGGCGGGGGCAGGGGGACTGACGTCAGAGAAAAAGAACTTTCAGGGACGTGGAAGGGGTTGCGGCAAGACTTGCGTAGAACTTCGCGAGAGGGCCGTGCATGATTCTGTTCACACAAGCCGTCCTGCTCTGGGACTGATTCGTGCCCTGATCCTAAGCAGTTCTGCTATAAGTAAGTGCTTCCTGCCTGGCTAGCATGGTTGCCGCCGCGCCGGGCAGGGCCGGACCTATGCCCTTGACTCTGCTCTGTGCTCCTCGCTACCGGCCTCGTGGTCTATGGCCATCGTCTCCACCCACTGGAAGGTGCTTGCGGCGTCTTGAACGCCAAGTGGACTCAGCCCTCCCTTGTTGTGAGCAGGCCCGTCGTGCTGCATACAGGGAGAGGCCAGGTGTACAGACGGAACGGCGGCTCTTTGCGGCTGTTTTCAACACTGCCTCTAATGGCAGGTAAACGCAGAAAGGGGCTGCAAACAGCGCAGTCCAAGCCTTCGCGAACACAGTGGTTGCCACTGTAATTCGTTCGCCTGCCCACCTGAGAAACCGCCACTTCTGCTGCCTGCCCACTTCAGCCTGGTTACCAGCACTAAAGGGAGAAGCCAGGAAAGTGCGCCTGGGTGGCAGCTAATTTGAACTGCCACTTAGTAGGGAAGGAGAAAGGGGCTAACTGTAGGAGGGAGATACCCCCAAAGGGACCGAAACCCCCGAAGGTCCCACTTGCCAAGGGAGATGGCCCCTGTTTCCTCAGATCACTTGCTCAAGAGGTAACCATTTGGACCACAGTAACTGCCTAATTGGTGCTGACCTCAGACACCCAGCCCTACTGCCAAAGGGAAATGATAATGGATTGTATAGGTTAGTGGTATCATTTGCCCTTATGGTTGAGCTTAAGCTGCTTCATAAACATATCCTAAATACTACTTGGGATTCTTCTAGATGTAAATGGAATTTACTTTCAGATCTGTGTTTTCAGCTTCTCAGATTTTAAGATGAAGTAGATGCACTTGAAAAAAAATTAGTTATGTGAGGCTTAGCTATTCACATACATGTAGATGCACAAATGCCACAAACAATTTAGGCAATCCTCAAAGTTACCTTTAAGCACCTCTTACAATTAAGAAAAAGGAACAGTGGCTTAAACAGATCCTCGGAAATAGCCGTGACAACTGCCTTGTTCTATTACTTCAGTGACATTTCCCACTTTTGCAGCAGAATTTAAATCTGTTTAAGGAAAAGGACATCTCACAGCGTTCAATGGTATTTCCTCCACCATAAGTTTACTATGGCTAGAATACTTTACTTTCTGAAACCCAAACCTTGCATATTTCTACCTTTTACCAACTTCACCTTCTGACTGTTTATTGTTGGCTTTTCCTCTATTAAAAATTAAGCTACATACAACCACTGGTTCTGGTTTCAATGGATGTCTGATATAAGCAGGGATTTTGATTGTTTTTCTTCAAATGTTAGTGATTACTATATAAGGAAAGGAATGCAGGAGGTAGAATAGTCACACACCTCATGGCCACTACCTTCAATATTTATTTTGTAGAACAGCCACTCTTTGTTTGAATACTATACCATTCAAAACTCATTGCCAAACCCAGAAGTGGCACATGCTCCATAACTGGAGCTCTACAAATGTCTTTTCAGAAAGGCTATAACCCATCCTGCATGACCAAGTGGCTTATTTTCCTTCTCTGTACATACTTAATTATCACACTTAACTATTGCTAGGCATGTGTTGTCATGATGTCCAGACCTAGAGAGTATGGGCGGCTGAGGTGGGTTACAAGCCACCCTTAAGCCAATGTTTCTTCTTGAGTTGCTTTCTGTGATGAAGTCCATTACTAATTTCCCTGCATGGTCATGTAATCCTGCCCTATCAGAAAAATGCAAAGAAGCAAGCATGGCTGGACTTTCAACATGAGCCACCCAAATAATAAATGGCCATTTATGCTGTTACACCACAGCATAGCAAGCCAAATGTTTGCATCTTGTCCTTCAAAAATTTTACAATTTATTCATTTAATTTTTATAGTGCCCAATAACCATTCCAAAATACAAAAATGTATAAATATATTAAAATATCTATAACAACATATAATGATGAATAGACCTAGAAACTCCTGGGGTGGATAATACTCTCAAACCCTAGAATATCCATGTATATCAGTGGTCTCAAACTTGCGGCCCACGGCCCAATTGCGGCCCATGGGATGATATTTTGTGGCCCCCACTTGATATCAAAGTTTAGTGATAGTGCGGCCCATGCGTTTTTCTCACATGCACCTGCGTGAGTCGTTACCCTGGGCACAATGTTCCCTCTAAGCTGCGCGTCGGGACGAGCGGGGCACAGGGGAGGGGTCCTGCGGCCTTCAAAGTGCCGGCGGTGCCCGGGCCGGCCTCCGGGAGCGATGCGGGATGAGTGGCCCACCACCACCACCTGATGCAGCCCAGCCTCACCCAGACTCTACTTCCAGCAGCCCCCAGGTAAGTTGAGTTTGAGACCCCTGATGTATATTATTTACTTATTTATTGGGGCATTTCTTTCTCATCCTATACAAAAGTCTCAGGACAGCAGTACAATACAGTACAATGGCAGAACACAAAAATAGAATATAAATATCTAATAAATAACACATTAAGAAAAACAACCCTTAAAATACAGGGGAAGTAAAAATGTTTTTGGCCTGGTGATGAAATGAATAAAGCCTGACACCAGGCGCACCTCTCTGGGGAGCATGTTCTAGAGCGGAGGTACTACCACAAAAAAGGCCCTCCTCCGGGTAGCCATTCTTCTGAATTCCTTCAAAGAGGGCTCCTGAAGGAGAACTTTGGACAAGGATCTTAGGGGATGGGCAGGAGTATACAGAAGGAGACCAAGGTCTTTAAAGACCTTGTTGTAAAGGGCCATAATAACCTGATGCCAAAACATGGGGAGGTTGGCACCAGGCAGTGTGTAAAAGGAACATTTGCTACCAGCCTTAAATTGTTAAGATATTCCTGACCAAGGGACAATTTATTCAGGAGTGATAGCATGTTACTCCTTGCTATTAAGGAGCACAGGACCACTCTTTCTTGTGAAGAGGCATTGTTCACCCACCAATCCAACTGGTTGTTTCCTCCTTCCTGGCTTTTATAAACCATGATGGACAAGCATCTGGTACAGAAGTGGTCACACAAATCTGTCCAGTCACGTCAACATCCTCAATCTGTACCAATTAAAATGTATCCAATAAAACTGGAGAAGACTGCTCTGTGTACATTATCTGATTTAACTACTATAACTCTGGAGTCTAAGTTCTGGCAGATGCAAAAGATTTTGAACTGAAACTGCCCAGAAAATATATTACAGCAGGCCTCTTTTTTTCTAAGAGCATGAGAAAAAGCCATTCAGTCCACCACTGCTTGCACTTGGTGGCAAACCATCTGTACACAGAACCCCTCAAGATAAGATGGGTACAAGAGAAGCCTGCCAAGCTACTCAGCAACTGGTGTATGTAGGCATGCCACTTATAGTAAAGGAGGTAGCAGATAGCCAGGAAGGTAAGAAGCCATTGGTAGTCTTCTCCTCCATGATTTTTTCTGATCCCCTTTGAAAGCCATCCAGAATAATGGCCTTCAGCTTTTGTCATGGCAATGAATCCTGCAGTTTAACTATACATTGTATGAAGTACTTCCTTTTATCTTTCATAAGCCTCCTCCAGTCAGCTTCATGGATAACCCTGGGTTCTAGTATCATGGGAGAGAGAAAACAGTATCTCCTCCACACCATGCAGAATTTTAAGCATCTCTATCATCTCTCCCCTTACTTGCCTATCGTGTTTAGGATGTTCCTGGAGTCAGTATGTAATATGTCCCAGATGGCCATAAAAAGCTCCACTGGGTGACAAATAGAAGATTGAACAGAAGCAGTGAGTTGTTTCTTTGCTGCCCTCACGGCTTCTAAATATGCCTGACTGTAGACTTATAACTGGGATTCAGTTGAAACCACTATGAGTTTTTCTCTCTCTGCACTCAAACCATCTCCTGTTTTGGTGCATTGCTCTCAACTCCAGCATAAATGACAGAGCCATATCAGCATTACAACATAGAGGGTGCTTAGGAGCACTTGTGTCAACCACCTGGGTCATCTCTGTGTTCCACAGCTTGACCAGGATTCTATAAGGAATGCCAGAATATCAGCTGGAACCTCCCCCAGAGTCCTCTGGGCACTATCCAGCTTCATTAACTTCTGGAGGTGGACCATCTTAAACACCCCCCCACCCAGGGGAGAAACTGCCATTGGTCTTTTTTTTTTTTTTTTTTTTTTGTCCATCTAGCTCAGGCATGTTGTAGGGGATGAAAGGATGCTGGAGAGGCCTTGTATGATGGCTGTTCCCATTTCCTTCCTTCTCTACCCGTTGAAATGCCCCTTTCTTCCCTTCTTAGTTGGGTTTCTACCCTCAGAGACTAGCTTGCACAGTTCTTTCCATACCAGCTGTAAGCTGTTCCTTCCTCTAGGTTTGGAGCGCTATCTCTGACCTTGGATTAGAGAATCTGATGACCTCTTGGTCACCGGCTAGGGACCACTGGATTGCTGCTTTCAAATTCTAAGCACTTTACCAGTTTTCAGCCCCATCTTACATAGCCCACTGAGTCCTGTGAGATTTACTACTTTGTAAATAAGCTGAAGACTGTCACTTAAGAAGCATCTTAAAACATTTGTTATATACAATTCTCATTTAATTTGGGAAAAGTCAAGGGAGGTACTCCATTCCTTGGACAATGTTTTTCATAATGAAAATTATAAAACAGGATTTTTTATCGATATTCCAGAGGTCTTAATCTGAAGTGAAAGAGAAAATTCAGGAATGTTTATTGTTAGCTGAAGTTCAGTTCCCATTCAAACATAACTCTAA